TTTGATTGTACTTTATAACATTTTGTGTCTCCATTAATTAAGATCCTATGTGCGTTAAGTGTTGGATACATGACATACAACAAGGTGGAATGTGCATATCGTGACTATTAATCAAAATTAGAATAATACCTAAAACGCCTTCCGATCTTCCATAATCCATCTCCTAAGATCTACCTGAAAAAAACCCATTTCTTAATATCTATCTGAAAATTCCAAAGCTTCCTCAAGAGAGAAAACATCCAATTAAAATCCACCCGTCACCGAAGAGGAGCAGTACTGAGAGATAGGTTCTCAATTTTTTATTTTTTCTATTCTATTTTTCATCTTATCTTCATTAAGATTTTCTGTGTCTTCATAAGGCTACATATAAACCCCATATATAGGATTAGACTAGCCTTATAGATTTTAATTTTAAATAATTCATAATTATTTAAAACTCTATCAATAACAATTAAAGATAGAATGTAACTGTTTAAAAACTTTATCCATAATAATTAAGGATATAATAGAATTTGTATTGTATATAAACCTCTTCCCATGATATTAGTAAGACTAATTAGGTCCCATATCAAGAACTAATTATTAATCAAATTAATTATTTTAATTTAATAGTCAAATCCCTATCTGACCAACTATTCATAAAATATCTTCTGTGAAATGAGATTAATTATTTATATATGATACTTTACATTCACTTTCCTCCAGCATCATTTATTTTAGACAACTTTATTGAGCTGGATAGTTCATCTATTTGCTCATACCTAAATTGCAATTCCTATGAACATAATTTAAATTTTGAAACATTAAAATATTTTATTTTTATATAAAATAAATTTCAAAAAATATTTTTCATAACCACCCACTGGCGGAAATTCAATAAATTCATGGGAATACATTATAAATTAACTCATTATAATGAGCACACTGGATCTTATCTAGATATTCATCATTTTCCTAAATGAAATTTAGCAACCAACACTTCAGATTGTGTAGTGCTTGCTAAACAAATTTAACCATCACATTAAAATATACTAAATTATCAAATCCGGCACACGGTAGCTTCGCGCCTCTGGCTTTTCAACCAAGCGTGATGACCAATTGTGTGAATTAATGGTTCATCTAGTACTAGGTTGAATTACTATCGCGACGCAGTCATCAGTAGGGTAAAACTAACTTATCTCACGACGGTCTAAACCCAGCTCACGTTCCCTATTGGGGGGTGAACAATCCAACACTTGGTGAATTCTACTTCACAATGATAGAAAGAGCCAACATCGAAGGATCAAAAAGCAACATCGCTATGAACGCTTGGCTGCCACAAGCTAGTTATCCCTGTGGTAACTTTTCTGACACCTCTAGCTTCAAATTCCTAAGGTCTAAATGTTCGATAGGCCATGCTTTCACGGTTCGTATTCGAACTGGAAATCAGAATCAAACGAGCTTTTACCTTTTTGTTCCACACGAGATTTCTGTTCTCATTGAGCTCATCTTAGGACACCTGCGTTATCTTTTAAGAGATGTGCCGCCCCAACCAAACTCCCCACCTGACAATATCTTTCGCTCAGATCGGCCCGCGGATGCGAGCCTTGGAGCCAAAAGGAGGGGCTAGGCCCCACCTCCATCTCACAGAATAAGTAGTGGTATTTCACTTTCGTCGGCAAGCCGACTCCCACTTATCCTACACCTCTCAAGTCATTTCACAAATTCAGACTAGAGATAAGCTCAACAGAGTCTTCTTTCCCCGCTGATTTTACCAAGCATGTTCTCTTGGCTATGGTTTCGCTGGATAGTAGACAGGGACAGTGGGAATCTCTTTTTTTCTAAAAGGAAAAACTTCATTAATAGATAACAAAATACATGATGCCTCCCATAGAAATGGGAGCGTGTACATCAATTAGTGAGACATCCCTCACTATACAAAAGGAAAAAAAAATACAAGGCTATCAAAAAATACTTAAGGGCTCTACACTGTAGGCATTAAAAAATGCCGAACTTCAAAATATGATAAGGGTTGTCATAGGGATGAACCTCGCCGCCCAACGAGGATCTCTATTGGAAACGAGGTTCGGAGTTCGTCGTTGGATACGAGGTTCGAAGCTGGTCATTAGATACGAGGTTCAGAGTTCATCGTTGGATACGAGTGTCGAAGCTTATCATCAAACTTAAAGCTCATTAGTGAAAATGAGGCTTGGACTCAGCTATTGAAGACGAAGTTCGTTAGTGAAGACGAAGTTCATCAGACGAAGGCAGTGAGGGCAAAATCCGTCAGAAGAAGCTTGTTTAGTGCAAAGTTTTCTTTGTAAGACGAACCTTGCTGCGTATCGAGGCTCGTCTTACTTGACGAACCCCGTTTCAATTAAAGATGAGGCTCGTCATCCACGTGAGATCTAGTTATAACGGCTCTGAAGACTTAGTCAGCCACGTGAGATCTAGCTATAACGGCTCCGAAGACTTAGTCAGCCACGTGGGCTAATCTTCAGGAGCACGTCACGGCGTGCGCTGATTTGGAGGAGACAATTACACCCCTCTACCCGTGATTGTAGCACGTCAGTTAGGTGCTTAAACCCTATAAATAGCCATGGATGGCTACAAAGGAAAGGGTTCGTACTTTTAAAACTTTTGGCAATCATCAGAAATCATAGCTCCCGCGTTTAGATCTAGAATTCGAACCTCGGTTCTAGCAGTCTAACGAACGTGAGAAGCTTCAGCAATTTTGTTCTGCTCATCAATGGAAAGCAATATAGACTCAAGCATCGAGGGAAGCATCCTTTCACCACTAAGAACCCACATTAAACAAAGAGGAGCTGAATTAATCTCCTCTTCATCTGTAGTCGAGAGAGTGAGTGATTGTAAGGGTTTCGTACCAAGTGATCGAACCTAGTTTTCTTAAAACAAGAGAATCAATCAATCTTCAATTTTTTGACCCTACAGACGATGGCGACCACAGTGGGAGCAGCCATTCTTTCCGATAAGATGGTGGTGGAGCAGTCAGATAAGATTGCATTGGGAACTGAAGTTGAGACTCTGGTCATCGAGTTTGACTAGACCAAGTACAAGGAGTATATCTCTTTTGGAGCATCCAGTCCCACCAAGGCACATAAGTGTCATCGAGTCTCGTATGAGACTTTAACCCAAGTGGCTTCTGATGATTCAACTCGAGTTAACCTCAAGGAAAAGTCCATACCCCTCAAAGAGGAGGCTCCAATAACTAGCTGTCAGGCTAAGAAATGGGTTGTCAAGCAACCTAGCTGAACTTCGGCTTCTAGTAGCCAAATTATGACTTTTGATAACGAACCTCACCCAGCTTCGGCTGAGGCAAAGGTTTCTATTGGTCCACTGCTGAGACGCACTCGACAACGTCAGCGCCAGAACCAAGCTCGCCATAAGGCTCGAGCTTTGGTCTTGTTAGATGGTTTTCACTATCGACCGAGAGTTGACCAGCCCAAGGTTAACAAGTCTGATGAGGGTCAAGTGATTGAGGAATGTCAAAATGACGGACCTCATCCTCATACCCGAGTAGACTCAAAACACAAACCTCATCCTCAAAAAGAGGTTCAACAAATTCAACAAGCAGTTCATACCGAGGTTCGTCAAGAAAACGAACCTCAAGTTAAGAACCAAGCGAGAAGGCGAATTCACCAAGCTTGTCCTACCAACGAATCTTGTCACATGAATGACAGAGTTCATCAGCCTACCCAAGTTTGTCAACCTCTATCATTCAGAGGGTCTCGCTCGGGTAAAGCTAAAATGATGGAGTCTATCGGGGGTTGTCCTGCTGGTCATCTTCGAGATTATCTCACACACAAGTGCAATATAAATCAGATGCAATCTCATTGTTGCTGTGAGAAGCATATCTCCGTAGTGCTCTCCCAATGCCCATGTGGGGTATCAGCACACAAGTCTACAGTCTTTGAACGACTGTCAGAGCCTTCGACGATTCCTTCGTCCAGAAAAAGGCGCTTTCGTCCTAAAAAGCAAGCATCTAAGAATCACCACATTGAAGTGACGATCAACATGGTCAGCAAGGGCAAGAGCAAAGTCTTGGCTGATTCCTCTGAATCTTTTGATCCTGAATACTCTCCAGGGTTAGGTGAAATGCTTGTAGAAGGATAGAAGGTGTTTCAACACACTCGTACTCGTAAGAGCGTAGTGATCCTGTTTAATTACAGACGATTAGCGGGTATCATAGATGAGGTTGAAGAAGAGCCTAAAAACTCAGCTATTGCCACTTCTCAGCCTTCCAACACCGATCAAAGTGAATAAGCAAGTGCTCATATGGCTGGAAGTGAGGAAGACATGGCGCGGCAGATGGAAGAGCAACAATAAACTATTTGTCAACAATAGGAGTCTATCAGATGCCTGGAAGCAATAGTGAAGAAACTCCTCGGGGAGAAAGAAAATAAGAAGAAGAAGGTTCATCCCCAAGCCTCGGGCGTAGGCGACCTTCACCCGTCGATGAAGAAAATAGCCGTCGGAACCAAGATGGCAATGATGAAGATGATGAGAAGGAAAATGTTGTGAAGATTCATTCTGAATCATCTAAAGCTGAATCCAATCCTCGTATGAAAGTACATGACCAAAAGTTGGATGATTTCTAGAAGCAACTTGACACATTGAAGCTCCAAGGAAACTTCAAAGAACTGGGGGTGGCTAGGCCATATCCAACTGAATGGGATACAATTCCGTATCCCCCAAAGTTCAAACCACTCAATCTAGTGCAATTTGATAGCAAGGGTTCCCCTACCCAACATATTTATTATTTCCAGGTGCAGACCAGGCATATAGTGGGTAATGATCCCATTGTGACTCGGTTGTTCATCAGCACCCTAAAGGGGGTGGCTTTTGAGTGGTTCCGCAAACTCGTCGAGCCTAGGTCAATCAAAAGTTGGAGAGATTTGGAGAAGCTTTTCCTAGCTCTATTCCTTGACGATGACACTAAGGTGTCTATGGCCACACTATTGGCCGAGAAGCAGAAGAAGACAAAGTCTGTCAGTGACTTTGTTAAGAGATTCGGAAATTGATCTTTGCATTCGCGTGATCAAGTTTCTGAAGCTACTCTTGTGGAGATGTGCCGCAACAATCTTTCTATTAACATCTTGTCTAAAATGGATGCTGTTGAAGCCCGTTCATGGAATGATTTTGGTTTGGCAGGGAGAGCAGGTAGAGAACATGCTCAAGAGGATGAATGAAGAAGAGCCTCAAGAATCCCAGCCTAAAAAGGCAGGAGGTAAAGACAACTATAATTCCCAGAAGCAATCGAAAGGGAAGGATATACTAGCTGTTGAGACAGCCTCATCCCCAAAATCTTTTGCAAAATAGAAAGAAAATGCTTATGACAATCGTTTTCAGAAAAAGTATGATTTCAAAGATGAACATGTGGTTTACATCCTCACATCTTTGATCAAGATGAAAAAGATCAAATTGCCATAGGTGAAGCGGACCGAAGAAGTGTCAAGGACTAACGATCCTAACTTTTGCATGTATCACAGGATGATGCATTATCCAACCAAGGCCTATTATATCTTGAAGGATAAAATCCAGGCTTTGTTAGATGCAGGTGTGATGACCCTTCAAGTCGAGCAAAAGAAGGTATCTACAAATATGGTTTTGCTACAGTTTGGAGACCTTGCTGAGATGCAAGTTCAAGATGGCGTGAAACAAATTCCCCAAGCAGAGATGAGGGTTGTAAACATTGACCCTCATCAGAAGAAAGAGAAGGGAATGATCCCCTACACTACCTCTGAAGGTGAAGTTATGTGGGTTCATCCTGACTTACTAATGGACGAGTAGTGGACATCGGCAAACTCGAAGAAGCCTAAAGTCAAATGAAGATCTTGCAACGCTATTTCAGCTATCCCAGATGAGGGAGTTAAAACTACATCACTTAGCAGTTCTGAAGACGAGCAACCGACATTCACCACACAACCTGCATAGATATCAGGAACATGCGGAGGAAAGGAGTATTTGAAGAAATACCCTAAAACAGCAGTTGTACCACCCAAACCAGGGAGAGCAAACACAAGCGAAGGAACTTCGTTACAACAAAGCACTCAGAAAAGATGCACCAGAGAGCTCGAAATATCCTTTTCGGTTTGATGTATTGGCACAGTTAGCCAACATCCCAGCAAGGATTATATTGTTTGAGCTTCTGCGTTTATCTCGATCAACGAGAGAAGCTATTCGTGAAGCGTTGGCAGATAACGAGGCTTTTCTTACCCACTTTCCACGCTTGAAGAAGCTTGTCCTCAATGTTGTTAAGTCTTTCAAGGCAGAATGTCATGCATCACCTTTTCTCAAGAAGATATGCACGTGAGAAACCCAAAACACGATAGACCGTTGTACTTCACAGGGTATATCGGCTCTATTCGGGTAGACAGAATTCAGGTTGACCTCGGTTCTGCTTTGAGCATCATATCGTTGAGGCTCATTCATCACCTTGGAGTTCTTCTGTATTGTTTATCAATGACGGGAACCACCATCTATGGCTTTAATGCTTCCAACACTCGTCCCCTTGGCAAAATCAAACTCAAATGCCAGATGGGTGACTTGAGGACAGATGTCACCTGCTATGTTATTGATGCAGAGATGTCTTACAATTTGTTATTGGGTCAACCATGGTTCCATAACAATTTGATTGTTCCATCAACTCTACATCAATGCATGAAATATGTAGATGAGAGTGGTGAAGTCAAAATAGTGGCCGCAGAGAAGCAACCATTCAAGGGGGTGGAGAATTATTTCATAGATT